CACATCTGGGTGAAGGTAGGAGCTAAGGAGGGGTTTTAAGGGCAACAGCTATTTGGTGTAAGGTGTAAGAAAACAGTTCAATTTTTTAATGACCAGTTTGGCAGTATAGTGCATATGGCTGGCTATCGATCCAGATATAGGGATTATGTATTTTTTTCTGCTAAGAGCTTCTCCTCCTGCTGAAAAAATCTTCACCGCCTCCCCCCACCCAATTTAAGCAATCCTATCCTATATAGTCTACCTATACTAATAAAAAGGTAATATGCTTATTAGACCAGGTCCACTGGTCATCTTCTTCCAGACATCTGACTTCCCTCTAGACAAAGCTATGGTGGCGAGGCCTGAGGCAGAGGTAGTTAGGGGCAATCAGGCCAGCAGGGGATGGCAGTTGGGGGTGAGATCAAGCCTGCAGGGGAGAGCAGTTGGGAGTGAGATCAGGCTGGCAGGGGAGGGCAGTTAGGGGAGATGAGGCAGGCAGAGGGGTTAGGGGCAATCAGATCGGCAGGCAGAGGCAGTTAGGGGCAATCAGGAAGGCAGGCAGGTAAGCAGTTAGGATCCAGTGGTCTCAGATTGCAAGAGGGATGTCTGAGTTGGAATCCCCCAAAAGGTCCACGATTGGAAAGGGTGCAGGCTGGGCTGAGAGATCCCCCACCTGTGCACAAATTTCATGCACTAGGCCACTAATCTACACTAATAAAAGAGAAACATGCAAATTAACCACCAGCCAATTAGGAGTAAGTATGCAAATTAACCCAATTAGGTTGGCAGCCACCACAGAGCTGGAGCAAGCAGGAGGCTTGGGTTGTCCCCTGGCAATGGAGGAAGCCAAGCTTCCCAGGTCCTGCCCTGGTAGGACCTGCCCTCCAATCAAGGCTACAAAGTTTCAATTATAGAAGATAAATAAATCCCAGATACCTGCTTCCAGCCCTCCCTGGCTGCTACTTAAGGAGGTGCTGAAAAAAAAAAAGAAAAGAAAAAAGCTCCTTACTCAGGCTAGCCACAACCCATGGGGTGTAGGTCCTCACTGGGGGTCTTGGCCAACCTGCAAACAGCCATCAGCCCTCACCCAGGCTGGCCAGGCACCCCAGTGGGGACCCCCACCATGAAGGGAGTGTGTCCAGCCTGCAAAAAGCCTCTAACCCTCAGTTGGTTAGAGCATTGTCCTGACATGCCAAGGTTGTGGGTTTGATCCTTGGTCAAGGTACATGTAAGAATCAACCAATAGATGTAAAAATAAGTGGAACAACAAATCTCTCTTTCTCTCTCTTTCTCCTTTCCTCTCTCTAAAATCAGCCAATCAATAAATAATTTTTAAAATATAAAAACACTAGAAAAAATGAGGGAAAAAATTTCCTAATCTCAGCATACAGAGGGCCCAAGAGGTATGAAAAACTCAAACCATAAAGAAAAATTCCAACACATATGATTATATAAAATTTTGTAAATCTGCCTGGCAAAAAACACAATAATCAAAGTCACTAGACAAAGGGCCTTGCTTCACAACATTTACATACTTATAGTGGAGTATAAATAGTGTCAAAATTGAGGAAAGAGAGGCATTATTGGGAAAATGCATCCACGGTTTAAGGTCAATCACTTGCAGAAATAGACCTGCAACTCAATTTTCCTTATTGAGCATCATATTTTTTTAAACATATAAATCCATTTAAAAAGCAAAAAACTATGAATGTCATTCACTGTTTACTCTTAAGAGTATATGTGTGCATGTGTATACATGCAAAGATAGACACACATACAATCATATATACACAAACACATATAAACACTCAAACATGCATACTTCATATAGCAGCTAAATACACTGAATATTAAATAGCAGCTCTCTCAATACACTGAAACAAATGTAGGCTTAATAATCTATGTATAATAATAATAAAATAGTAAAAGTAACCACAAAACTGTTATAAACAAAGATCCACACATATGTCATTGTAATTCATAATTTTTGTTTGAGATAAGTAAGAAAGAATAAACTTTGGAAAAATTACAAGTTAAATGCATTTGTCACTGCACCCACTAAACAGATTTAATTTAAAACTCAAATGTCATCATATTGAAAGGAGAAATGAGAAGCTAATAACATGCATTGAGGCAGTTATGGAAAGGGTGCAGACTGGGCTGAGGGATCCCCCACCTGTGCACAAATTTCATGCACCAGGCCACTAGTCTACACTAATAAAAGAGAAACATGCAAATTAACCACCACTCTGCTACACCCACTAACTTTGTTTGTATGTAGGGCAGGTCCTACATACACACAAAGTTAGTATGTAAAGAAAGAAATATGAACCTAGCAATGAATATGAAGAAACTGTTTGCAATTTAACAGGTTAAGCAAAAATGTTATTGGTAAAGAGGCAAATCTAAGTTAATTTCCAGCTATTTTAACACTAAGCGCAGCTAACTGTCAATGTTATACAAGAGAAAAAAAAAATACTTAAACTGAATTTGTTTGAAAATGCAGCCAATATATGAACATACTGTACTGAAGTTAGCATTCATTCAATCAGATAAAAGGTATTTTTCCCAAAAATAAGTTTATTTAACATCAGAATATTCAATATGCAGTTACTTCACATTGATTAGGGGGGGAAAGTATTTGGAGGCAAATGAAAATATTAAAGTGTTTCTCGAAGCAGTATCTGTCATTCCTGAAATGAAGTCAAGGTTTAAAACATTTATTTTTTAAGAAGAAGCTAATACAATAAAATTTTATTTAAAAAGCACTATGACTACCTCATTCAGTATCTTATATTAGTGACGATTATGAGCTCAAGCTCTGGCACCAGCTTTCCTGAGTTGAAACTCTAACTCAACCATTACTTGCTGTGTGACTTTGAGCAGATCATTTAATCACACTGTGCCTCACTTTTCATACCTTAACATTAGGGTGATAACAGCATCTTCTAGAATCACTATGAGAATTAAGCATGTTCATGTATGCAATACACATGCTCAATAATGGTGAGTTATTATTCTCAGTCAAGACAGCAGTCTCTCAGAGCAGGCAATCTTTTTGTGTTTAAAAAAAAAAAAAACTGACTGAGTTGTGGGAAGCATGCCATGACTTTGTTGGCCCCTGAATGTAAAGTACTGTTGTCATTTCTCATCTCCTTAATAGATAGGAATCATGGGAATATCTCTGGTGAAATGAGTAAAATGAGTCTTGGGTGAAGAGGTGGGGAGGGTCTGATTGACGGCCCATCCCATCAGAGGTATTGCACAGGTGATTCTAGAACACAGTGAGGAATCAGTCCTGGCTTTCTTAGCATGTTCTTTGAGATCTTGGCATATTTTCCCTACAATACCACCAGCCTTCAAAGGGATAGTCTGGTGACTAGCCATGCACCTGACTTAGCATTTGATCTTTATCCATATCCCTTGGAATATTCCACCAAATGTTTTCTTTATCCTTGTATTTTCCAAGGTCATGAAAAGGACAACGCTGATACAGAAAGATTTCATGTTCATTCTTCTTCTTTAATTTACTGGAAGTTCCACATCTGAATAGAAGGAAAAAGGCCAAGTCTACAGGCATCTTGGCAGGATGACAAGTCATCAAAACGAGATGTGAATTCCCACAAAATAAACACACCAAAGCCAGGCTCCTCCATACCCTCTCAAGTCCAGTCATACTGTGACTGCACTAGTATGATTGCCAAGGGATAAAGGGAAGGAAAATGGGAGAAAGACACAGAAGCCTTCATCCTTGAATCACATACAAACTCTGCCTCCAAAGGAGGACAAGAGGCTTGCTTGTGTATGGTCAGGGCAGAGCAATCCAAAACTGCATGAAGGGGAAGAGAGGTAGGCGGGGAAGGGAGATAGGCAAGGATGAAAAAGATGCTTCCTGCTATCTGCACCAGAGAGAGAGCTCATTACTTGCAAATGATTCCTCTGGGATCCAATCAGACTACAGAGCCTGGGCAAATATATCTGGAGTAAAGGTGAAATCAAACACTTCCAATATTCAAACTTCCTTTCCACATTCTTTTGTACTGTGTATTACTTCACCAGGACCTTGAGACCTCAATCTTAGAAAAACCTTCTCTCCAAAGAGGATCAGCTATCTTGTTTTACACCTGAGCCTGAATTTAATGCCAGTTATTTCTCTCTAAGCCATTTTCCTTTGCTTTCGATTTTTAAGGTGATTAGAGGCTTTATGCTCTGCTCCAACTGGCTAGGACTGAGTAGCTCAAAATAGGAAACATGCTCTGCTTGCACAAGACACAAAGCCTCACCAGTGGACCCAAAGTCCTAGTTTCACATTTAAACAGATAATTATTGTTAACCTAAATTGTACTTAAAAAATAAACTGAAAAGATCAATTCCTTTATATCCTTAATCATCACAGAAAGATAACAAGCTTTAAAACTTAAAGGAAAGCATCATATTGAAAAGAATTGCTAGAAAACCTAATTTTTGGTCCAAATATCACCACTAACTACTATTTAACCATAGACATGTCACTTGAATGTTCTGGACCTCAGTCTCCCGAGATAAAATTAATGGGTTTGGTACTTATTTAAGGTATCTTTCAACTCTAAAATTTCATGATCAATTCAATATTTTTAGTTCAAGCACTTTGAGACATCGTGATAGCAGGAGCTCAATTTTTATCTAGAAATGAAGATGACCTATACAATTAAAATATAAAAATGGACTCTTAAAATTAATGTACCATAAGTGTGAGGAAAATATATATATATATATATATAGTATGCTGTAGAATTAAGACACTTATTTCCTCAGCTCATTACCATAAGCTAACTGACCTTATACTATTAGTTGTTTTGTTTTCTTTCTTTTTACACTATGGTAAGTATAGCAATGTGAGCTCGCAAATGTGTGAAACAATAACAATCAGCACCACAAGGCAGAATGCTGCTCTTAAAAATCAAGTGAGATCAGGCTAGAGCAATGTGGAAATGTGAGAAGTGTTCTTCAGGGTCACTGGGGAGCTATCTCATAATGCTCACCTTCCACCAGTTGGTCCAGGTTGGAAATCTTCTTGAGTCCATCAATGGTGTAGATTGTTCTCACTCCCTGGGGCAAATTCACATTATCCGACAGAGTTCGGGTTAAATCAGCCAGCAGGGCATCAAAAGATCGGAACCGATCTGGGGAGATGGCATACACAATCCCTTTAAAGTACCGATCTCCATTTCGATAGAAACGAACTTTCTTGGCCTTCTTCTCAGAGCTGAGCGTCTGCAGCGTGCGGGTTCTGTAAAAGCTGCAGTGGGCGCTGTGTGTGGGGCTGGGGAGCCCATTCACCCGCGACCCTCGGCTGTATCTCTGGGCCTTATCCCGCTCATCAAAGTGCTCCAGCTCCATGTCTCTGCCAAAGGACATGATGCACGCAGTTCAAGTTGAATCTATGAGACACAGCGACAAAAACAGAGACACATACTTACGTTATTTAAGATCATGATTTGAGAGACTCAGCTTGAGAGCAGCTGGTGGAAACAGTACTAGAAATGATGATATATTTCATATCATATGAATTATCAAGCTGGGAGAGAAAGAAGAGAGCAAAGGAAAAGAAGAGGCAGGCCCAGAGTGAATAGTTTATTAATCAACTTTATAGTTTTATTAGAAACAGCTCCTCTGTACTGACCACCTAACAACATATCAGGCTTTGAACACCTATTATTTCCAATAGTCAGAGCAAACCTTACAAAGTATTATGATCCCTATCTAAGGATGCAGAAACCAAAACAGAGGCGGGGGGGGTGGGGTGGGGGCTCCTAAATTTACCAACGTAAGACAGGTGAGAAATGCTTGAACCAAGAAGACTGACCCAGGTTTGCCTACTCCAAAGCTCCAGGCTGCCTGCAAGGCAGTGTGCTAGTCCTGATGGCAGGCAGGAAGTCCGTTTTCACACCACCATTCAGCTAAAGCAGTGATTCCCAACATGGGGCACATGCCCCACATGGGGGCTATTTGATTTTTAGGGGGGACAATTTGAGAATGAGTTATTAACAGTGAATTTTTTTGCATTTCTTATGGTTCTAGGGGTCTCATATACAGTATATAAATATATATTGTGACATATTTATGCATTTCAGTTCTCTATTATATGTTTTGAAACTTGATTTGCTACTTTTTCATATCACTATTATTTTTTTCACAATTTCTTCCTCAACTTCAACTGTTCTTTCATTCTTTTATTTTTCTCTTTCATGGATGCCATGTTTTTTGGAAACTTGTTTAGACCAAGTTAATGGCCTTTTAGGTTTCTTCCATGTGAAAAGGAGTTCACATTTTGAATAATAATTATATGTTACAGGAGGGAACATCAGGATTTTAGAAATGCTTAGGTGGGGGGAGCAAAAAAAAAGTTGGAAACCACTGAACTAAAGAAAGATGATGGGCCAGGAGAAAAAGACAGTGGACAGCATTTCATAATCAGATTGTCTACATTACTTAGTATTTATGGTCCCCAAGGCCAGATAGAGAGCAAATGGAATCAATCTGTAAATTTTACTAACTTAAGGAAGATTTTCCAACATATTCAATAGAAGTTATTTTAAAACCTGAAGTCACCATAATTCACTCACTTATATTTAGTACTTCAGAAAAACAGGATTAAAAAAGAATAAAAAGGAGGAAGAGAAGAAGGGAGAAAGATCAACAAAAACAACAAGAAGAAGAAAAGATAAAAGGGCTTTGCTTTTCCTTTCACTCAGGTTCTCTCTGTCTTTGAGGAAATCAAGATATTAATCCAGACTTGACCCAGTACTAGCTGTGCAACCTTGGTCAACATCTTCAAGCCTCGATTTCCTTATCCAAGCATGGAAATGATTACCGTGTCTACTTCAGAGTTGATATTAATCAGGAAGCACTTAAGATAGTGTCTAGTATGTAATAAATTTTAATATTTGTATTAATAACATCTTGTTCTGTTTCTGACTCTGTCAAAGAAAGAATTATTAGGAACAGAATCTCTGCTTTCTGGTAAGGAAGGCTCCTGATGAGTCCTCCTGATTTCCACTCATGACTTCTAAAAGGTCTATGAAACCCTCTATGGTCCCCATTTTACTTTCTGTAGAGCCTTATTATCAATAAGCTGCTCCTGGAATCAATCCATCCTTGCTAAGGGTTTAGTTGATAAAGACTTTTGATGTTGCCCCTTTGGTGGGGTGGGGATTCCATGTCTTATCAGGTCAATCTAGAAAGTGGACGGGGGGCCCTCAGAATTCAAAGAAAACGAGTTTTAAAGACAAAATTTCAGGAATGTTGAAATAAAATATAATGGAAATTAGGGCAACAACATATGAGTGCCCCAAAATCTCACCACAGAGGCGATGCCCCCTTTCCCAAGGTCAGTCCAAACTAACCAAAATGTCTGGTAAGACTCCCTGGCCTTTCCATGATCTCTGATCCATTGGCTAAAAATTCTGTGCCCTCCTGAAATGAATGAAGTGGGGAAAGGTAATATTTATTGAATGTCTACTGTGTATCCAACACTATTACTCAGCAATCAGTTGTGTAATATTCTAAATATTCCCTTCTAAATCTCATGATGATTCAATGAGGTAGGTAATATTGTGACTGAGGTTGAATATAGGATGTATCCGGGGTCCCAAAGTCATAATTGAGGGAGTTGTGATTTAAACTCAGGTTTACTCTGAATGACTCTGAAACTGGCACTCATTCCTTGCTGCCCCTAGAGGCTTAGACCCCCTGAGATTAGCCCTCAATCCTAACTAGCTCTGTGACCTTGGGCAGGTTACTTAACTGCTGAAAACCTCTGAAGAGAAGACAGTGATCAGCAGGCCTCTAATGTCTTCCTGCTGATCCCAACTGGGTATGGGAGACAGTGGAGTGTGATTTAAATCTGGAGTGTATCGTTTTCTTACAAATATGAAAACTACCTCATGCCTCTTCATTTGTATTTTCCAGGAAAAGTTATAGCATATATAGGTAGATCTGAATTGGTTTCATTGATTTTGAAGTTATATCATTATAAAACAATTATCAGTTTTATATCCTATCCTTTCTGGTAAGGAAGGCTCCTGATGAGTCCTCCTGATTTCTACTCATGACCTTCTAAAAGGTATGCTTACACTCTATGGTCCCTATTTTACTTTCTGTAGAGCCTTATTATCAGTAAGCTGCTCCTGGAATCAATTCACCACTTTTTTTAGTTCTGTGGTTTCCAACCTAATTTAATAGCAGAACCAATATTTTGCCCATGGTATCACTTTTTAAAATGAATTTGTTTTTAAAAGGAGTTCTTTGTCTTTTAAAATGAGGTTGGGGAGATGATACTGCCAGTACTCATGCCAATTCACTAAACTCACACTTTGTAAATTATAAAGGTCAGATTGGCTTTTGAATATTTTGTTTATTCTTAAAGCCAGTGATCATCCCTCCAACCCTAAGATTTTCCCCTAAATCTATTTGAACCCAAAGAAAACAAGTAGGATCCTAGTAAAGGATGGCACAGTTGTGCAACCAGAGTGCAAACCTAGTTTTAAAGGGCTCTTGTCGAGTCACAATTTGCAAAGACCAAAAAAATGTAGCAATTACTGTAATTCCTTAAAGAGAACAGGCTTTTAAAGCCAAGAATACCACAGCAAATGAAAGAAAAAGGTAAATAAATAGAAAGAAAAATGATTTTGTCTTATTTTATTTGAATATATCCTTAAACTGGACTACACGTTCAATCTGGGTAGAGACCATACATATCTTCAACTGTCCTTCACTGAGGCTGCCCAAAAGTAGGCACTGATGTTGGTGGCAAAGAAAAGACACACTCACACTGAAATCATTTTCAAGATTACAGCTACCACTAGGCATCAAAATAGTTGTTTCCCTTGCCTTGGCTGGCTCAGCTCTCCAGTGGCCTTACTCATATATCTGAGCCAAGAAGATTCCCTCGGCCTCTACAAGCTCGCACTTTCTGCACAGGAAGCTGGCCAAAGCACACAGCCATTTGTTTGCAGACCATAGATAGCTAAGGGCTTAAGCCACACATTTGTGCTGGTGCCAAGAAAGTATCTATACCACCTTAGCCACAGATATCACACACGTGGGGTGGGGGGGAAAGGGGATCATGCTCTTATCCAGATTTTCCTATAACTTAGCCATGCCAACAAATCAGCATCTTCCATTGTTCTGTGAGACTTCTCACCATTTTGAGGAGCCTGTATTCATCCTCTAGATGAGCTCATAAGTTTCTGTTTTCAAGACATCCCCTCACATAGCACACACACACACACACACACACACACACTCACACTCACACACACACACACACTCACACACACACACTCACACACACACTCACACACACACACACTCACACTCACACACACACTCACACTCACACACACTCACACACACACAGCACACACACACACACACACACTCACACACACACTCACACACACACACACACACACAACACACACACACAATTTGTCGTAAATACTACATACCACATCTAAACATCTAAATCGATGTTGCACCTGGAAGTCTCAAGGCACAGGCATATTTCTGCTAGTGGGTTAGCATGCAGGTGGATGGACAGGCTAGAATTAGAGGCCACAGACACCTTCAGAGTGCAGGCACCACCCTGGATGAAAACATGACAGGGTGTATGTGGATCCTTCATAATGTTCCTATATATAACCTCTCTTAAAACCCCTCCCAGCCCACATCATTGACATTTCATAGTTACAACGCTGGCCTACTTTCCTTTCCATTTCAAATGCAATTTATTTGGGAACATTCATAAAACGTATTCAGGGAATAGTCTGCAGTGTGGGGCCACAACGCGTGTGCACCATAATCTGGACACGCATTCACAGGTGTGGAGAGAAGGAGCCGGTTAGAATGAAACCTTTCACCTGCTCCATCTCCTATCAGCGTCTCCTTGCCAAATCCAGCAGGGATTCCTAGCACAACTGGTTTGCAAATACAGCCTCTTTTTAAAATTGTTATTATTATTTTTTTGTTGACAGTATTACAGATGTCTCCCATCTCCCCCTCCTTTGCCGCCCCCGCCCAGCCCCTACTCACCTCGCCCGACTCCCCACCACCCCCTTCACCGCCCTATTGTCCGTGACCATGGACTATGCATTTTGTGGGGCTATGAAGGGCTGTGCTTGTGCTCCGGAAATCACCGGTTCCTCTCTGTGAGCCTTTAGCACTGCAAGTACTAATCTGTATATAAGCAGCCTCACTGTCCCCGACAGAACTTGAGGCCCTGCAAATGTGCTTGCAACACCCACATTGCAGCCACCCACCACGCACAGATCGCGCGCTCTATTTTCCAGCGCACACCACCCACCCGGGCGCAGGAGAGCACACAATAAGAGGCCTGGCCCGGTCACTCCTAGGCG